ATCCTGCACCCCAAACTTGTATAAAATCACTGCTAATCTCACACAGAGGAGATATCCATATCTGGCAGCTCACGTAGCACCAGGTTCAGCCCTTCTGGAACAAAGCACCAAACTCGGCCACTCACACACCTAGCTTTACACATGTTCCCAGCTCAGAGACAAATCTCCAGGTGCAGTTTTCAGCACGTAATTAATCCTACAAAACACAGCAAGACAAGCTTTCCTTTATGGCCTCAGCAGGAGAAGACTCAATGCAGCTGCATGGAAGTGCCTCACAGGATATTTCCTACAACACTTTCCGCTGCTCTTGATCTTCCTACCTGAATTTCTCCATTGGACCCACTGTTTGCAGTTGCCCCTGTAACCCTGGTGAATTATTCTATGCTGGCTCATCCCAATGGCTGAACCATAAGTGACCCATGTAACTCTTTCTGCACCCAGATAAGGAGGCTCTGCAGAGTTTCAGCTCCATGAACAAGTTGACAGATTTGAACGAAGTGATGGAAAACACTGCAGATCTCCACAGTCATCTTTTCTCTCTGCAGATCACTGACTGCACTCAGCATCTTGTCTGTGTTCCAGTTTCAGTGCAGCTGAAGTCTCCTGGCAGCACTCCAGGGACAGCCATGGATCCCTGATTCCAGGGACCTTCCCCAGCCCACAGGGCACAGCAGGGACTGTCTGAAGACATTCCTTGCCCATTCCATACCCCTGCATGATCCCACTCCAACACCCTGTCCCGAGCTCCAGCCCTGCAGAAAGCATCAGGGCCTTTCGACAGCACCCATGTGGAACATCCCAACTTCCTGCACTTGTGGCTTTCCCTTCTGTTTGTTTTTAAGCTGAGGAACGTGATCCCTGAGCCAGGTGACCAGGCTGAACATGGTGTAGGATGTTTATGCACATGCATTGGAACAGCCTACACCACGTTCAAAAGTGCTGTAATCAGGAAATGAGCCATGAAATGTGTAAGCGGCGGCACATTAATAATCTGGTTTATAGCTTAAATTAGAATCTTTGGAATTTCACAGCCAGACACTTTTAAATAGGTCAAAAAATGCTGTAATCACACTTAATGATCACACTGTGATGTGCACGGCATCAGAGCTGGGAGTGAGGAAACCTGAGCAGAATGGATATGAACTACTGGCACACTCAAAAAAGCATTTAGCAAACCTCAAGAACAAAACACATAGCTCAGGCACCAAGTTTTTTATCTTTTGATCCTGCTCTTCAGAAATGAGGTGTGAGATTTCATGTGATCACAGACAACAAATGCTGTTCTCTGCATTTCCATTTTAGTTAGCACTGCAGATTAGCAAAGAATTTGACCACTTGCAAGTGGTGAGAATTCAGTGATGTTAACAAAGCCTTCCCCATCTGAGAAACACAATTTTCTATCGTCCCTGCCCACGCATGTGTCACCCCCAGTGCACAGACTTGAAACACATTCCTGGGTATCAGCATTTGGGTTTCTTTTAAAGGAAAGAACAAGAATCCACAGATCAATCTCAGTAATCTTTTAGTCTCCAAACCAGGGAAACCCTTCACAATTTTGCTATATTTAGACACATGCTTACATTCTCTCTACACCAACTTGATTTCAGGTATAATAAACCTGATGTTAAAATTGAATAAAGAATGAGAGTTTCAGCAAAAGACACAATCATTGACTAATTAATCCAGTCCTGTCAAGCTACTGAGGCATAACCAAAAAGGCAAACTAGAAAAAAAAATCTGCTATATTCTGTGAAAACAAAGTCAATGTTTGTCTACTGCAAAAGTACAAAGTCAGCAGGGGAGACTACTTGGAAGCTTGTAAGAAAGCAGTAGAGAAATGTTTTTTTGGTTTCTTTTTTCCTCCAGTCAAACTGGGCTTCTCCTAAAAAACAAAACAAGGCAAAAGATGAAAGGCCTTCTCTTCTGAAGCCAAAGATGAAGAATACAAAGAATATTAATGACTAACAAGTCTTTCTGCAAATGCCATGAGCTTAATTGTAGAAGGGACTAAAAGGAAGAACAGCACTGCTATTAACTAATAAGTTTCTGATCTAACAAGCAGTGATGAAGGCTGATTGGTCATTTATAGAAGGGAATATTAGTTCAGAAGAACACAGGTTCCCTACAGAGGATGAAAGGAAAGAAGAAAAGATGCCATTATATACATGAAAAGCTCAGGATGGCTCATTTACCCAACACATAAAGGTAGTAAATTCCCAATTAGGGCTTGTCTGTCCTTCACATGTTTGTGTGTGCAGGTACAGCAGATGTCTGTCTTGCGGAAAACTTGAGAATTGGTGCAAATTTGTCACCAGCCTTATATTACAGAACACTGGATTTTGATGAATTGCATTTCCTAAAGGAAAAATTCAACAAACACAGAACCATGCTTTTGTCACAGCAAAGCCTTATTTCTGGACCCAGTACACACAGGACACAGTTTCCCAGTGTCCTGGAATCTTGCAATGGCCCAGGAGGGTCCCATGGACCAGGGCCAAGGGAGGGAGGCACTGCCCTCTCACCTCTGCACAAGCACAGCGAGACCAGTGCAAAGCATGTCCTTCCATGCTTGAAGTTTGCCCATTCTCTTTCAAGAAATTCTTCTAATTTGAGCAAGTGAAACACAATAAAACCAGGAAGATGAAAAACAACCGGCTCGGAGCCAAAAGTGACACCACGCCAAGTTCAGATTTGGAAACTGATTCATTTGCCAGCTCACAGGCACACACACCTAGAGTGCCTATATTTATACACATGGACTCAGGCTCCCTGTTTGGTACAGGCACTATGAATGTTTTTAAATCAGCAAGAAATCAAGAATCACAGTACTTAGAGAAGATGGAAAAATTCCCTTTTCTCTAAGCTCAGATTAGAGGAGTCTTGACGCATCAGCTCTGCCTGGGGCACCCAGCAAAGCTGAGAGCCAGCACGGACACAATTCACTCAGATTCCTTCCCTTAACAGGCCACTGCTCACTCTGCAGACAGGCTGTGTTCTGCACTGCAGCCTCATCCAGCAGAGGACATGAGAAGCTTCTGTGTCAGGATGGAAATCTGGGGAGCATTCTGGCAGTGAGAGAGTTGGCAATGCTGGACCCATCACTGCCAGAGAGCCCCAGTGCTGCTGCCCCTTCCAGGCTGGCAATTCACAGCCCCACGTTCCATGCCCAGCTTTGTCCAGAACCCACAGCGGTCTCAGGAGATCACCAAACTCCCTCAGCATCCCCTCATGGAAAAGGGGGATAACAAAATGTCTCAGCAGCACCACAAAGGTTTGTTAATGCTTGTAAGCACTTTGTAGATAAGCAACATCAAGACAGCAGTCAGCAGAGGGATTTGGGGCACAGACAGACATAAATCCAAAGCACTCATATCATATATTCCTTTCAGACAAGCATAGCAGCAGATCAGCTCCCTGCATTTAGTGGTTGTGGGCTCCATCCTCTCAACAGACTGAGCACTCTGCCTTTGATCCAAAAAATGAGTCCGTGGAGAATATTCACATGTTTAATGTTAATCATATGCTTAAATTCTCTGAATCTATAAAGAGAGTAAAAGAGAAAAGTGCTCCCCAGCTCCAAAACAAACACAAATTCCCAGAAGTTATATTTAGGACATGAGCAAACATTTGGCCAGCAAAGGAAAAGCCTTCAGTATACACCTGCTAAGCTTTTGCATCCCTCAGGAAACCTGCAGGTGGGAAAAGTGTCCAGAGTGAGTTTGCTTAGACAAAACCTTTTTAAAATAACCAGCATGGTGATATTTGAAAGAAGCATCCCAGAGCATGGTGACCTACTATTCTTGCACACACAAGCAGTCCTTGAGCAAGGAAATCAGAAAACAGAATAAATGAAATTAATTAAGAAATTCACCACACAGATTTGAACTTCTGACTGGGAATTTATAGTTGCAAAAGAATGCATGCATTTATTAACTGTCTGCTGTAAGAGAAGAGGCTCTCCTCAGAGGACAGGCACTGCCACCCAGCCCTCACAAGCTCCATATGTCTTCAGCAGCACCTAGAAAGCATCTTCTCATAACTGTATCAGAAAGGAACAACACTGAGCAAAAGGAATGGAACCCCCTTAAAGCCTTGTTCCTTTTCAGCACATGCTGCTCTCACATCCTCACTATCTGAGACATCTAACTCAATTTACATCCTTCTAAACTCCTGGGCTAGCTGATGGCTTGGGGCCACCAGTGTGCTAAATCAGCTGGCCAGAGTGCCCAGGAGTCTCTGCTCCTGCACCAACCCCACCCTGACCATTCCTGGTGATGGATCAGGTGTGTGGAGAGAGGGCAGAGCTCCTGTGGTGCAGGTGAGCTGGGCAGAGCGAGCAGGGAGCCGCAGTGCTGGGATCAGTGAGCTCCAGAGCAGACACTCCTGCAGAGCAGAGCACTCCCAGCTGCAGCCTGGACACAGCCCTGGCCAGACGAGCATGAGCAGCACAAACACAGGGCTGGCTCCCAGAGATGATTTTCAAACCCTGCTAGACAAGCATGTACAGCAAGAAAAGCCTCAGGCAAGCAAAGGGCCACTATGCAGAGCTTCATTGCTGTAGCAGAGCCATAAACATCATCCAGCTTACTCACAGCAACATCACCTTTTGCCAGCCATGTGAAACACTGGACAAATCACTCTCTCACCAGCATAAATTGTCCAAGAAGTTAAATAAGGGTGTTAATTATTGCTAAGGATTTTAAAAGAATCTTTCAAGATTTCTGCCCTCAAATTTGATTAAAAAATGTTGTAAATATTTTCAACCAAATATCATCAGATGAAATTGACTTGATGGTATAAAAGAAGCATTTTCTTAAGTAAAGGCTTTTTGAGAAGTGTGTTGTATTCTAACAGTAGACAGCACTTTTACCTTAATAAACCAGAGGGAGCTGTATTAGTCACACCTTACAAATGGTTAACAAGGTGTTTATCTTCCTAGTTTGGCTGAATTAGAACCACACAAAATGCCCTGACTCAAAGGAGGCAGAACAAATCCCTACCTTCACCTGCCGTGAGGGATGGAATTAGAATGCCGGGTGAGGCTCTAAGGAGTCCAAGGGAAGTTAAGACATCATAAGGAATCCTGGTTATACTTCTCCACCTCCTTTGCACGACACTTTGCTGTCCCAAGGTTTGCAGACACTACAAAGCAACACAAAGTTCACTGCTGTTGCAGTTATCAGCATGACCTGGCAGACCCCACCTCTGGAGAGGGCTGAAAGCCTCAGACTACACATCCATGACTTTTTTTCACCAGTTTCCTGGAGGAGAAAGCACTGTCTCCTATGACGGGGTAAGCTCCAAGACTGTGCAGTGTAGGGCATCTCTCACAATAAGCTCAGACCTCTCTGGTGCCTTTGCTTTGTTCAGAGCCTCCATCAACATCACCCAGGACTTCATTAGCAGGCACTTTCCCCTGGCCAGAGCCTTGACTCTCTTCCTTTGCTCCACCACTTCTTCCTTGAAGTGCACAGAGTGTAACAAAGACATGCACTCCCCATCCTCACTCCTGCACCAAGCCATCCTCCCCATCCCTCAAAGGCAGCCCACCCTTGCTCCCATCCCTAACAAAACAGGGAGATTCAAAGAGTCCTGGGAAACAGAGCAGCAGCAAGGGGCATCTTGCAGTGCTCAGAAGGGCAGACACACCTCCAGGTGCAGCACAGAGCACAGGTGTCCCGCAGCAAGAGCTGAACCTGGGCAAGGACTGCTGGATGCACCTTTTCAGCCACACTGGCTTGAGAGCAATAATTATATTCCAGTCTCATTTCCTCCTGATCTACAGCTCTAACTCCTTAGTGACTCCTATGAAGCCAGTTCCCAACTGTGGTACCACTCTGGGTGTTTGCCTTAAATAAAGAGCCCAGAAAGCCACAAATACCTGCCCAGGAAATTTCTCCTGTGAAATACAAATGCCAGTATTTCAGGTGTCAGGAACATCATATGATGTTGGATCCAAGCTTCCAACAATGCGCCATCGCCACCCTACTCAACACATGAGCAGAGACCATCAAGTCCAGAGGATACAATCAAAGCCGAAATGGTTCCTCCTCTGCACTTCTCTCTTTCCTCGTCATCTCCCAGTGTTTAATGCTGTGCCAGAGGGAGCAGTGCCCAGTGTGGGTCCTCAGACAGCCACCAGAACGCCCGAGGCTGTGCGATGTCACCCAGGAGCACGGCGGGCATTAAAGGCACTCGGGCTGAGGAGTCTGTGCAGCTGCTCCCCTGCCCTGCTAATTGGGTACTGCGGACACGCTCACGCCGTGAGCGCATCTCTGACATAACACAGCATGACAATTCTTCCAGAGTCACAGAAATGCAGAGCATACAAATAAACCTGAATGCTGAAACCATTTCATTGTTCATAAGAATATGCACGCTGCACCTGTTACGACCAAGGGCACTGTCTGCGCCTTGGAGCTGATTATTCCAGCCTCTAACAAGCCTGTCTTGGAGGACTGTCAAACTCCAGGAGTTAATAAAGCACAGCAAAATTATTTTGCAAAAAGAAATCATTACGGAATATACAGGGGGAGAGGTCTTTAAATGTAAGGTAAAGAAAACAATCCTCAAACTGACATTCTCCTCTCAGGTTCCCACAGCCGCTGAGTCAATTTAAATCAAATTCACTGAAACAAAATAACTCTAAAATTGATACCGGTAAAGTCCTACCCGGAGACAAATGCTCGGGAGCCCAAGTGCAGCCGCAGCCCGGGAGTCCCGATAGAGGAGGGCAGGAGCGGGGAGCGCTCCCCAAGCCCCGTCCGGCGGGAGGGAGCAGCGCTCCCGCAGCCCCGAGAGGAGCCGGGGAAGCCGGGGAGCAGGTGGCAGAGCCGGTCCCCGCAGCCCAGCCCGCCAGCAGGTGAGGAGCACCGGGCCGGGGCTGATTTTCGGTGGGGAGAAGGAGCCGGAGCAGCGCAGCGAGGAGCGGCGGCTGCGGCAGCGCGGGGCGGGCAGGGCGCGGCGGAGGGACGGGAGCGGCACTCACCGAGCTACGCGCGGCTGCTGCTGCTGCTGCCCCCGCTGCCGTCCATGGGGGCGGCGGGCGGACGGGAGCCCGCTGCGGGCCACAGCCGCCCCGCGATCCGCCGCATCTGCCCGGCGCCGCCGCCGCCGCGGAGGAGGAGGATGAGGAGGAGGAGGAGGAAGAGCGGAGCGCGCCGCCCCGGAGCCCCGCACAGCCCGGCCGCAGAGCGCCGCCTGCCTGCCTGCCTGCCTGCCCGCCGGGATGGGATGGATGGATGGATGGGATGGGAGCGGGGGGGCCCGGCCGCGGGGGCAGGTGCAGCCGCCCGGGGCGGGGGGCGGCGCGGAGCCGCAGTCGGAGCTGGAACCGGAGCCGGGCGCGGCCCCGGGGCGGCGCAGCTGCCGGAGCCGTGCGCGGAACGGGGGCGAGGAGCGGCTGGAAGCGCCTGTGTGTAACGTGGCCGGGCACGAATCCGCCCCGCGAGGGCTTTTAATGAAGTACAGATGTTCCCTAATATAATTATATCGTCCTCTCGCCGATAATTGGCTTTGGCAGGCGCGCTGATCGAATCCCCCCGCGCCGCTGCCGTGCGCTCCCCCCGCCGGCTCCGCACCCGGGCACTGCCCTGGGGACCCCGCACGGCCTGGCCCCGCTCCTGCCCACAGACACCTGCGATTATTTCGGCTCACAGCAGGTGAAGACGAGGGACAACGCTATTTACTTATTCCTTAAAGTGTGTGTCCTCAGAGAGCATGGGCTTAACTGGCTGCCCGTAGCCAGGGAGGATGAAACACCGTGGTTGTAGGATGGAAAGGTTATTGCACACAGTGGGCAAGGAGGGACCTTGTTATTGAGCAGGAGCTCAGCAGTAGAGGATGTCCTGGCCAAGCTGATCAGGACTAGCAGCTCCCCTGCTGTACCTGTGCTCTCAGCAGGCCAGGTGAGCTGCAGATGGTTCAAACACCCCAGTTCTCCCCAGCTTGGTTTGTCTCCAGAGAAATTGCCAATAAGGACACGCTAATACAAGTCAGATGTGTGGGTGTTTTATGCATCTCTGTGAGGAAAATAGATCAAGCCCACAAATTCATCTTGCAGAGGACAAGCAGCCAACACAAGGTAATGATTTCTAGTCACTACAGGCCCCAGACCACACTGCTTTCACCCCATGACTCAAAGCTGAAACCCAGCCATGCCATTCCTGCTGACACCTGGACACTACGAGGTGTGTAAACACTTCAGATAAGCAGGATTAGGGAATTCTTTTAGCCCAGGGCTGCAGAGGGGAGCCACAGAGAGCTGACTCTTCTGTATTTCTGTCAGCTTGGGCAGTGTCTGAGGGGATGGGCAGTCCTGCTTGTTATCACAAAGTGTAGGTTGGAAGTCAGCTCCTCCATCCCCAAAAGAGATTCTGTCCTGCTCAGTCCAGGGTCTCAACCACCAGCTCCTATCAATTTAAGTGAAGGCAAGAGATTACAGTTCTTTCAAGCATTACAAGTTTCTCAGCCCGAGCCCACAATGATAGTCACACTGCCATTTCATATTTACCATTGGTGCCTAGGTGACAGCTGTGAACACAGAACCATTTTGGACTTATGGAAAGGGTAAAGGGGTGGCTCTATGCAGAGTCTGGAGCTACATCAGCATTAACTCTGGTCTCAGCATGAGGAGCTCTGCCTTTGCCTCAGCAGGGACAGTAAAATGCTCCATGTTTTCACACCTGTGCTCTGCAGATTTCTGAGGGACCAAAACAGACAGAGGGTATCACAAGCTGGGCAGGACATGGAGCATCCTTGGTTTGCCTTCAGCTGGGCCTCTCTGGGGTTTTGCTCCCCCTGGAATAGGCCCATGGCTGCTCAGGAGACAGAGAATCCAACACAATCGCAGAGATAGAAGTGATGCTGGTCTTCCAGACACTATTTTTAATGTCTGCTTTTTGGTCTTGATTCAGTGCTGGTCCCAGAGGTGAAGGCATGGGGAAGGTGTCAGAGACAGCTGTGTGTGTTCCCTGAGAGCAGATGTCTCTGCAGTGCATGGCTTAGGAAGCAAGATGAGGACAAAGAAGCTAAGACTATCTTTTCCTCCATTTTCCCTTCAGCTATAGTAGAATCTTTTCTTAGAAGGGTATAAATATAGAAGAGTAAGGGAAGCACAAAGGCAATACAACCTGGAACAACATGACTTGAAACAGAGGACAAGCAACCTGACAGACTGACTCTGCAATTTCTCTTTCAAGCTCTTTTCTTTAAATGTTATTATTTTTTTTTTTAATTTTAAAAACCGGCCCATCATAATTACAGGCTCTCACTTAGACTTCCCAATCTTCCTTTCAAACCAACACAGAAATTACTTCACAGGGAACTACCTGATTTAGTTTTCCCTCAAGGGCAGATGCAGAAGAACATTCCCCTTGAACAGAGGAGCTCTCCAGTGGAGGTAGAAGCAAACTCACCTTATCCTTGCTTTTCTTATGCTTCATGGCTGACCTCTCAGCAGGAGCTCTCTGCTCCCCCCAGCTCCACAGACACTTTCCAGCTCTCTCTCTCTGACCGAGTTTCTCTGCTGCCTTTCCAGGTGTTAAGCTGATAAGTGTGTGATTTCCAAGGATCAACTCTGTCAAAGACAGGAGGAACAGTGGACTTATTCCTCTCTGACCTCTCTTATATTTCCTGTCCTCCACCCATTATTAAAGGTGGATGGTTCAGATCTGGCTCCACCTTGTCCCTCAGATATTCCGGGGTAATTTTCTTCAGGCTTTGTCCTTTTCAGTGTACTTTTTGTTTCTGTGCCCCTCTGCAAATAGGTAGGTCTTGTTTCCAGAAAGCATTCTGCTTGTATTTTCCTGGAAGCAGAAAACAGGAAAACTTACTGTAAAATTCAACCAGTAACAAGTCAATCATTGGTTCTGTTCTTTATTTCATCCCATTTTTAGAATAAATGCTTTCTTAAAAGGAACAAGGTAACACAACTGTTTGATGCTGAGCAAATAAGAACAATGCCTTTTCCCCCAGTACAAGGCACCTGTCCAGCATTTTATTAACTTTGCTAATTGCATTAAGCATCCTGCAGTGCTGAACAGCCATCAGCTGCTAAATCCCAGATCACTATAGCTGAGCTGGCTGTCAAATGAGAAAAAAAAAAGACATTTTACACCCAGCGTAGTAACCAAATAATCATACAGTTCTGAATTCTGCTCAGCTCCTCACAGTGATCATATTTTATGAACTACTGGAAGATGGTGTTAGGATTCACACAATAAATATGAGCTGTATGGGTGCTAGTGAGATTGATTAATAGATCTCACATGTTCAGACATTTCCACAAACAAGAAAAATTAGGTTTCTCTCTGTGAATATTTTATGCAGATTTTTATGCAGATAATTTGTACCTGCTCTTTCATTTTGTTACCTGTAGTATTACATGTGAACATAATAATAATAATAATCTAAATTTACATACACAAATTACTGGAAGGTCTGGATCTGGCACACTGGGGAATAATTTCTAGCTGGAAACATTAGCAGTGTGATAACTATTTAGACAACTATATGAAATGAAATAAGCACTTGTCAAAGGAAAAATGCATTGTTATGAAAACTGGAATTGGTACAGTCTCAAATAAAAATGGAGCTTGTGAAAACGAGTTAATCAGAAATTCTCTCCTGCCACTCCCCTGCCTTATTGCTTTTTGTGTTTCTTCCCTCCTTTTGTTGGGGTGAAATCCTGCAGAGCAGAGAGCTGGGGAGGCAGAAGCAGCCAGACCATTGTGAAGATGTGCAAAAGCAGTAAATCCTGGCTCTCAGCAGAGGGCTGGCAGGATCCCTCAGCCCAGCCTGCAGGGATCAAACACGCAGTGCCAGAGGGGGACCTGCCCCACACACACAGGGACTGCTGCTGCACTCACAGGACATTGACATGGCAAATCTTGGCCCTAATTTTGGTCCTGATGGTAGCCAAGACCTGAATTCTGCCCAGGAGCTAACCAGAGAAGCAGCAAGGTCAGAGAGGACAGACAGAAGAAGCTGCAGCTGTCCTGCAGGCACTGTCAGGAGGGGTTCCAGCTGACCTGCTTCCATTTTTAAGAAGCACAAGGGCATTTCGACCATAGGTTTGTGAAAGTAGTATTATTTTTGCCTTTCCTTATTTGTTCACCAGGAAACCCATTCTGCAGCCAACCAGAACAAAATTGTGTGGAAGGAAGCAGAGAAAAAAAAAAGATAAATGAAAGAAAAAGCCAGTCAAGCTATTACTAATCATATTAATTTATATATGTTGTTCATAACTAGCATTTTTAAGCATTCATTTTCTTTCTTCAATAAAGACCACATTTCTCCAGGACCCTCACCATGTCCATTGTTTTTATGACAGGCAGTAGAGATAGGTACCAATTACTTGGCTCTTATTTAGTGACTACTCCAAAGTACTTTGATGCAGCAGCATTGTAAATTCTCTGTTGCAGCTAATTGTCTCATTTTAATTCATTTTTAATGAGACACCTGGGAGAGTGAAGAAACACCACAAAACCACAAAAATCCTGGAATACTTTTGAATTGGTCTCCCAATCTCTCCTTATTTCTGCCTTCCTCCAAAAGGACTTTTTGGTACTGGCACATAAAGGTGCAGCTTCACCCAGCTGTGTGATAGCATTGCTCCCTGTCACATCACAGGTGAGGGAGGATGGTGGTAGAACCTACAAAACATCATGGAACAATCCAGAGAGAAGCCTCTGGTCTTCAAGATGTTCTACATCTTCATCACTGCTGTGTCTCAGACAGCTGAGCCACATCTCCTCTGTTGGCAGATGGAAGTGCAGGGTTCTGAAGGAACGGTGGGGTTCTCGCTCACCATCATTTACCATGCAGATGTGACTCTCAGATAAAAAAAAAAAGGTGGCAAGGAGGTGTATTTTCTTCATCAGCAGCTGATTCATTGCATGCTTTTTTGTGAAAGGAAAAATGTGTCCTCTGACAGTCACCAGCATGGTTTCTTCAGCTGAGAAACCTTCTTGGTTCTCACTCACATGGCTCAGTGTTGCACTCTGTGCTAACTTCAACATCCAGATTTTATTGACTCAACAGGGGAATTAATTCCAATAAGACAGAACTGCCCAAAACTCATCAGCAGTTTGGCTCCAGCAAGTCCCGGTCACAGCATCCCTGGTCTCT